CCTAAACCCTAAACCCTAAACCGTAAACCCTAAACCGCGTGACTCCCGGGCTCGCTGTGGCTGGCTGTGGGCACCTCAAAGGTTCCCACTTACGCATTTGGCGCCGAGGCGTAGGGATGGCAGAAAAACATCGAACCGCCGTGCGGGGGCCGGGGGGGGGGGGGGGAGGAGTTTAGGGTTTAGGGTTTAGGGTTTAGGGTTTAGGGTTTAGGGTTTAGGGTTTAGGGTTTAGGGTTTAGGGTTTAGGGTGGGAGGGGGTGAGGGTTTCCAGAGACTCGTTTGGGGTTTAGGGGTTTAGGGTTCAGGGTTTAGGGAAGCATCCTTTGAGGAAGGCATCGTCCTTGAATCACACAAGGATCCCTCATTGCAAATTTCGGGCATCCTCTCGCACCAAGGGATGCTGGAGTCGTGGGGTTTAGGGTTTTGGGTTTTGGGTTTTGGGTTTTGGGTTTTGGGTAGGTAATGAAAAGAAGAAGGTGCTGAGATCAGTCCATGCCTCTTTGAGCTCAGCCGAGAACAGCGATTCTGAGTCGTTGTGTCTCCAAGTATCTTCATTGAGGCTGGGTCTTTGCGGTTCGCGCATGACAGACGTTAAAGAGCAACCTCCCCTTGACATTGGCTTGAGGTCAAACAAGATCCTGAGGGTCCGCTCATAGTAGTCTGATATGGAGTTAGGTGCTTTCTCTGAGAACGGGGTGTCTCACCCTTCTTGCCTACTCCTCCCTCCTCCTGTTTCTGACGGGTTTTTACATGTTCATGTCCGGAGACTCCTTGGCGTTTGGGGTCTAGAGCTTAAGTTTGTAGGTATAGTCTAAGGAGTCTAAGGGTCTCCAAGACTAGATCTGCATGTTTGCATGGTCTCTTCCATGGGGTTGAGGGTTTTTGCTTTTAGGGTTCACGGCTTAGGGTTTAGGGTTTGGACTTTAGGGTGTAGGGTTTAGGGTTCAGGGTTTAGCGCGTAGGGCTTGCCATGAGATGTCGATGTTTTCCCACGTGTGCCGGAGCCCGGGAGTCTTGGGCTCGACATGGCTGGACAAAGAGAGGCCCTTAGTTGAATTGCCTGAGTCCTACGAACATTAGGGTTTAGGGTTTAGGGTTTAGGGTTTAGGGTTTAGGGTTTAGGGTTTAGCATCGCGCAGCCTGAAGCCTTCTGCAAGCCTAAGGAACCCCGTATACCAATGCCCTAAGCCCTCAAACACCTTGATGAAGAAGCATTTCAAACCCCAATCTACACGCACGCACACACACACACAGGGCGAAATCTCTGCAAGCACTAAAACATTATACCTTTTACCCTGAAGCCCGAACCAGCACGTCATATGTGCTTGGTTGGTTTAGGGCTTCAGCTCTCAAGGACCCTTTTTTAAAGGAGCCTTGACATATACATGAAGGCATCTTTCCTCCGGCACCCTCTAAGTAATAGCTCATCTTAACCCCTGAAGCGGAGTTAGAATTCTCCTGGGTGCCATGGGAAGATGGGAGCGTCGCAACTTTGCAAAGGCCTGGTTGGAACACTGAGACTTAAGGGTTTATAATAGGGTTTAGGTTTCAGTGTTTACGAAGGTTTGTTGCTTAGTCTTTCAGAGTTTCTGGGTGGTGGGGTTGTTGAGGTTTGTAACATGTTGTTTTGTCGCGCTGCCTGTTTTTATGTTGCTTTGGCCTTCTGCAGCCTCTTGCAGACCCTATCTTTTGCAGCTTTGTTTGGCGGCCGTCTGATCGATCGGTTTCTGATTGCGACTGTGGAGCTGTTTTCGGCTGTTCTCGATTGTTTAAGTATACAATTCAGTTTGTCTGGAGGGTTTGGGAGGCTTCAAGCCTACTGCCGCGCATCCTCGCAGAACCGAGGCATTTCCTAGCTGACGTTCTTAAAACCCCCTTGCGCTTCACATCTCGGCTCAGCACGCTCCCAACGAAGCGGCGAAATGGGGGTTTAGGGATGCTCACCCATAGATCCGACCCTTTAAGACTTTAAGTTGTTTCACTCTACCTCAATTCATAGAAAGGGCCCCGACCCCTAAACCCTAAAGCCTACCCCCCAATTCGTCCCTAAGGAAGGGGGGGGGTGGGTCTAAGGTACTTGGTGAATCAAGGAAGCTTAGGGAGCCTTCGGGTGTGTTGCGGATGACGAGGTTTAGGGTTCAGGGTTTACCCCCCTCCCAAAGGACTGAACGACTAAACCCCAAACCCTGAACCCTGAAACCTAGAAGATACTGGGCTTTTTGGGCAGGACCGTTGGGTTGTTTGGCTTTACAGCAGCCAGGCCCTCGCCACGCCACGTTAAGCCAGGCCTCATGAATTCCCACCTCACACAACCCTAGGCTTTGAGGTTTTGCAGGGCTTTGGGTTTAGGGCTTAATTGGGGCTTGTCAGGTCTAATTAGTTTGGATCTCGGGTTTAGGGGAAAATCCAGGGATCGGGCAAAACCAGCACAGCCGGAAGTATCCGAACAGGGCCAAAGCTGAAGCTGTGCTGTTGGGACTTTGCTTGGGCTAATACCCTA